TGGGCTGGGCTTGGAATTAAGAAAAGAGACTGAAATCATGTTATTGGGCCCCCGCATAACCTCTCTCTTTGGATTGCTCACTTGTGGCCTAGTTTGTAACTTATTAACTTCATGATTGGGCTTGGACAAAGTATGTGGGTTGGACTTCTCATTTCGGGAAAGAAACTGATAATTGGTTGCTAGGCCCCCACTTAATAGCCCTCTTAATCTCCTGCGGGCCGTGATGAACTAGCAGACCATTTGTCTTAGTAGGCCCAGAGCACGCTTCAGGTCCACGTTTAGGCCCAACGGAGGCCACTGCATGAAGGGCTCCTTTAATGCCATGATCTCGGCCACGTGGATGGTAACCGTTGAAGCGGTCATTACGAAATGATGATGGGCACTGATTGAGGGCGTGATTGACACAGCTCTTGGATTTGCCTTCTCTACTTGCTTCTAGCGCATGGGCAGGCAATTGCCTCTTTCCTTTGAGGCCCTGATGGGTCTGAAAATTCTGGCGACTTCCTTCAATGATCGTTGCAGCAAACGGGGTGTGGGGACTCTCCCCAACGCCATAATAGGACTTCGGAAGAATACGGGGTGTGATTTCCTCTATCAAATTGACCTTAAAGGCCACTCGTTGGTCCTTAACGGAAACATACTCCGGCGGAAACATAGAGGAACGTCCGCCTCGAAATCCACCACGTTAGTTTCCAATTGCTTCGAATAACTTATGGCACCATAGATGGAGGAGCAAACCAAACAAAATCACCCTTCGTATTTTTTCTAGATCTTTCACTACAGAACATTCAACCGCGAAGTACCAAATGTCGATAGATAACAAGGCGTCGGCCCATCTCTTCCTCCCTTCATCCAAAGCCCTTAATGCCTCAATCTCCGATGGAAACCTGAACAGGAATAAATTGTCGGGTAGGGAAGAAACTTTCGCCCCACTCGAAACCTTCCAAGATTTCGTCACTCACGCCTCAATCCCTTCAGTACACTCCACATCTCTATCAAAGCAGCCTACCAGACACGATCACAAGGCAGATTCTAGATCTTTGATGCTTTGATGATCAACCCTAAAAACCAAATCATTGCCTATAGTACAGCTTTTGATTTCTCCATGGAAGTTGAGGCGTGGTAAGGTCGCGACACTGAGATAGGATCGATGCATATCACAAGTCCCTGCCAAAAAGCCGAAGATCCAACAACCAAAAACACAAACATAAACGGCAGACGCCGGAGTGAAAGACTCCGACGTCAAAAAAGGTAGAGAGAGAAGAGAGAAAAGTCAAACATAGTCAACGCGTAACCATGAAGGATAACGGTAGACCACACTCATTTCACTTCTGTTACTATTATAATTTTCAAGCTTACTTATCATCATCTTCACCAGCCAAAGAAAACAATTGCGAATGCCTCCAGATTTATTATAAAAAAACACAGTAAATAACCTAAATGAACATAGAACCCCTGATAAAAGACATAAGTGATTTCAACTCGTTTAATGTATTTGTCTTCAAGCTTACTTGCTTATTATTGTATATTTCATCAGCATATAGGCACACCAATTAATACTCAATTCTGCTGGACCTATAGTGATGTCATTAACAATTTAGTTTATTACAATTTTCACCCCAACAAATAGGAGTCAAATACATTTTTTTACTGTCTCCCATTTTGGTTAAATCAATGTGAATAAAAAGAGAGAAAACAATAAAACAGAACAACTAATTCCTCCACGGATTATGTTGTGAGATGAGTTGCGCTCTATGTGCTCAAGGATATATTGTATGGTTTTACCTGGTCTCAGCAATTGTGGATTTCACTATAAGTTGTGAGTGGAGGGCTCAGAGGTAGCACCCCTGGCCAAAAATTGTAAAGGGGATTCATTTTCTAACCTGATCCAACTTGGTGTAAGCAATTCCTTGGAACAGTTTTGTTTCTTAAAAATAGTAGGTCTTCATGGTAAAAGTTGAGATATGGAGTGTGGTTTTCTGATAACCATAATTCATAGTTGATAGTGGATTTAATATTAAGCAGCTTGTCAAGCTATGTAAATCTACTATGCGTATTGTAATTAGGGCTGTAAATGAACCAAGCATTCCACAAATAGCTTGAGCTCGGCTCGTTAAGGGCTCGGTTCGTGTTCGTTTGTTTAAATGAACCAAGCTCAAACAAAAATTTTAGGCTCGTTTCATAAACGAGTCAATCTCAAACACCTTTGTTCGGCTCGTTTGTTGGCGAACGTGTTTGTGAACATGCTCGTTCAAAAGCTTGTTTAGAGCTCGGAATATATATATATATATAATTTTTTGAATCTACGAAAAAGAGGCCCACTTACTAATTAAAACAAAGTTGGCCCACTTTACTATATAACAGTCCTTCACATTCTTTGAATTCCTCCCAAGACATTTTCAAAAGTAGAAAGCCCGTCACTTTTCCTAGACCCAAGCCCATCTATCATTTAAACATTAGCCTAACAACATTACTCTTTTATTCTTTTGCCGCTAAAGAGAGTGTTTGCCGCCATAGCATCAACACCCTACCTCTAAACAGCACCGGAAAGCTCCAGTTCTCGCTATCCACTGCACCAACGGTCAACAACTTGATAGTGCAAGGTGCTCTCCCTCTTCTCTCATGATTATAGCAGTGTAATCTTGATTTCTGTTTGATTGTGTAAAGAATATGAAAAGGGTACAGATCTGACATCCATGGAGTGCAATGGTGAGTTATTCCTCAAGTAAATGATCTGGTACGCAATGTGTAAGGATGTGTGTGTGTGTGTATATATTGTACACCAAGTCGGCCGGATTGCGGAATATTGAAGGAGTTAACGAGCTCAAGTTTGCCTAAAATCTGTCGAGCCGAGCTCGATCTTGCCTAAGCTAGGCTCGATCGAGCTCGAGCTGAGTTCAAACTCCTATCTAAATATGCCAAGCCGAGCCCGAACACCTCTAAGCTCGGCTCGGCTCATTTACAACCCTATTTGTAATATTGTGATATTTCTTTATTGCATCATTGTTGATCCTATAATTAGTTCGCAGTGAATCATCCTAAACGAGTTCAACAAAACCATCTTCCAAAAACTCTAGTTCTCTATCAAGACATTTTTCACTCTAGCTAAGCATCTTAATTCTTAAACCATTCACATTTTCTCCATGGAAAATGCCACTCGTTATCTTTTTTCAAAAAAAAATATAATGAAAGAGAAAAAAAATGTAATCATTCTCTTAACATCCTAAAGGTTTTGATTGCTAATACAAAAAAAAAAAAAAATGATCTGAAGTACACCAATCAATCTACCTGAAAAATATGCAAAAAGCACAAGAGAGCATACCACACATCCTTTTATTTCTTCCTTTTCATATCACACACTTTTTGAGGCAAAATAAGTGTATCATCGATGATGTGGGTGTTGAGGAAGATGGAATAGTTGAAGAATAGAGAAAACAGAAGTGCACAAATACAAATATGGCAACAACTTGTTGCCTAAGTATGGCAACATTAACATTCTGTCAAGGAGTGATTTAAGGGCTTAAATCACTCCTATAATTATTCTCCAACATTGCCGTGGATGTAGGCCTAGTGGCTGAACCACGTTATATCCTTGTCTTCTTAATTTTCTATTTCTCTTCAATTTTAACATATATAATAGAATGTAAGGTAAGGGTTTGTTTGGTATACAGTATAATGATGATACCACTTCCATTGCTGTGGAAGTTAGCATTTCAATCTATGAAGCACGGGTACTCCTTGGGGAGTCCTGTGGCCATTGAACACGTCTTCAAAACATATATGCGTTAAACATGGTTTGATAAACTTCGAATATGGTTAAAAAGTGTCCTGTCTTTCAAATTATAGATATTATTACTTTTTTTTATGTTGGAGACTTTTAGAACTCAAGAATGACAAGAGATGGATACTCTTAAGACACTGTGGGGCAGGTTTGTAATTTTCCTTTTTCTTTAGGGGGGGGGGTCCCATTTGTAATACTGAAAGATTCTGGTTCGAAACTATATATATTATAAGAAAGAAAAATGGCTAAAGTTAGGGCATTGGTATGTTCCTTCAAAACTCAAAAGCCCCAAACCTCAAGCACTACAAGTCAAGACTAGAGAGACACGAAGGGATGAAGAGAAGAAGAGGAAAAAAGAAAAGGAAGGAGGACCATAAAATATATTCATACACTTGGTAACTATGTTAATTTCCTACGGTGATGCACTATTCTCTCTCTTCCAACTAGCTCCCCTTTCTCTCACGGCCTCTCTCATTACCAATGTCAAATAGGCACACACCACAACCACCATTCCGCCTTCACACGTTCTTCTAACCACGCAACACTTTCAGAAATCACCCTCACCTACTCGACAGCGCACTTTAGGTTTTTTCCCCCCTTTTTATAAAAATTCTCTCATGAAAAAACCTCCTATAGCTACACACACAGCCAACAGCACTCTCTCCAACTCCCACCACTGCATAGAGCGCCCTACCTTTTCTCTCTCTCAAAATTCTCTCATGAAAAAACCTCCAATATCCACACACATCACCTCTGCTCCTTTTTTAGTCCCCTTTTTTCAATTGAACTATTTCCTTTAACCATGAGGCTTATTAGGAATGGCAAAAATCTATTACATTCAAGATATTGTATTATAGATCAATGATAAAAAGCAATTTTTTTTGTATAAATAATAACATAATATAGCATTATATAATTGTATGTATTCTTGCCGTGTCTGGATCCTATTTTTTTGAGATTTATTGTATCGTCGTGTCAGTATCTTCTCATACCTGTGTCCCGTTTATGTAGTAAGGCTTTATAGATTTCAATGCATAAATGAGCAATTAATATGGTAGTATCATTACGTGGATCAAAAGGAAACAAATTAACCAAAAATTTGACCAGGTCAGACAGCACCAAGATCTGTATATCCAATACTTAGGATGGAATAACTAAGACAGGGCAATCTTCCTCCCGCAGATACAGAAATGAGGAATAACAACAAAAGAGGACTTACATCGGGGACAGAGTTAGATGATCTGCTTGGGTTTAGAGCCTCTAACCGCCTCTTTAACTCCTCGAGTCTAGCAAATTGGGTGCTACTGCTCTCTTGAACCTACAACATATTAGTGTCAAAAAAATAAAAGGAACAATAATAAAATTTAAGAATCTATGTTTCGTAAAGATTATATACCAGATTACTCAAGTCTTCACATAGCTTCTGCTTAATTGCTTCCTCATCCTTTACAGCTTTTGACGCCGCTTCCCATGCCTACAAAACCACAAGATATCCAAATGATGGAGAGAGGTAAACCAATTTATGCACCTTTTATGATTTCATCAAAAATTCATAATGTTCATTAAACTCCCTGAATTACTGCTAAAAGAATAACCATAAATTTAAATCCCTTCTAAAAGTAAACTTGTATATTACAAAGCAAACAGCCCCCTTCTGAAAGTCAAGGCAGGTGTAAAGTGAAATATCTGTTAATTGTTCCCAAAGTAATCAGTTCTAGATGACTGTCAAAATTGAAAAAGAAAATTTGACTTGTCATTACAGAAAAAATAATTAAAATTGACATGGAAATAAATGATTGCGCTTCAAAGGGTTTGATTTCCTTCATGTCATGCAGCCACCAAGTTTTTTCGAATGTCAATTTCATGCCCATTTTGTCAGATAAAGAACTAAGTGCGACACCATAGTGTTCACAAATGTGGCAAATTTCCCGGTTAGACAGGGCAAAAATTTTTGGGTGTGAATGTGTGCATGTCTTCATCCCTCACCAGCAAAGAGGGTGAATGTAGGTCTCATTGTACAAAATGTCTACAGAATGTTTTTCAGGCCTACTGATGAATGAGGAGTATTAAATACTTTTGACAGAACAAATGCAATTCTGCTTCAGCATACTTTTGACAGAACATAACAACAAATATTCATTTATTTCAAAAGACCTCAGGAGGTTGGCATAGAGAGTACGTAAAGAGTCAAGATCAAAATACCAAATGAAACATCATACACTTATAGAATTATTACTAACATATACAAAAGAATAATTACTTGGATAGACTTTGTTACGTATATGGGTGATATGTTGGCAATTTGCTACTCAAAACCTTGGTTGTAATGCGTCAAAGTGTCATGAGTCATAAAGAGTACAACCGTTGAAGGCTACACATACAAAGATTCGTGAAGAACACGGCAAGAAATCTGCATGCTCAATCACATATCTAGGGCTGATTTAGGGCACAAGTAAATGACCTAATCTTAGATAACTATTTTCAATCTTGGAGAGTCTTAAATTACTTATTTAAACTTGTTTTTTAAAAATGGCTTTTCAAAGTACTATTTTTGAACAAGTTCTAACACTACGATTTTACTCGAAAACAGTATGCGTGGACTGACAACTCAATTGATTGAAATTCGAAGAGCACTCCAGTAGACTTTGATTGATAGGTGCATTAATTGAATTTTTTCAGAAAACTTTTCATTAAACTCCAGCATGCTTCAATTGATCGAGCAGCTTGGCAGTGTGTGTCAATCGGCGCATCGATCGATCCAGCCATGCAGAGGTTTATTTTTGGAAAATCTCTCAAAACAGATTTATACAAAGATTCAACTTACCAAAACATATGGGCTACCTATATTAGCTATATATATGGGTTTATTGTCAGTCTAGGTATAAATACATGCTTTGATTATCTAGAGAGAAAAATCCTTGAGAGAGGGATCCTTTGCTTACTCAATCTGGGTTTCTATTAGATACCATTATATGTGATTTGAGAGTTCAACAAAGGGAAGTACATCAGCCTACTGAGTAAAATAAATTCAACAGATTATAAAACTGAGTTACATGATTTGAACATCCGTAGAGAAGCAGATTGCTTGGAAAAGTATGTTGATGAAGCAGATCAAGGTTCTAAAGACTCTAAGTGTGAGTTTGGCTACAGTCAGTGTCAAGAGGTAACTAGGAATGGGTGTGGCTAAGTGTGAGTTTGGCTACAGTCAGTGTCAAAAGACTGTAAGTTTGTGTTGGGTTTTAAGACCAAGGGTATTTTTATAGTTATTTTTTAGGGGCATAGATAGACATGGAAAACTAGAATAACAAAAAAGTTGAGTGGTTATTTGTTTAAATAAGGAGAGAGAGAGAGAGAGAGAGAGAGAGAGAGAGAGAGAGAGGGGATGGATGGGGCAGGGCTGAGAAAATTCACTGCCTAAAATTTTATTGGGGGACAAGTATATATAACGGGGTTTTACCAAAAATTTAGGGGGGGCAATTTTAGGATTTTAACAAAAATTATAGGTATATATAGTAAAGATAAAAAGAAATCTAACTCCGTCCCTGGTTGCAAATTAATATCCACAACTTGTTCAAGCCCCACCCCCTCTAGGTCTAATTAACAGCACACTCTCTGACGTATCAGAGCCTTAAGTTCCAGTCACTATAATAATCTTTTGGTATCGGAGTAGGTTACTGAATATGGAGAGTTTATCAATAGGGAGAGCATGGATATTAAGAAGATATAATTGGTTGGTTTTGTGTATTCTAATGATTATACTTTCTTAGATTTTTTGATGCATGAAGATCATTGTAACTTACTTGATCCAACTTCTAAAGTTCTAATAGTTACTGTTATAGAGAGATATTCGCTTAAACATGATTATTCTATTTGTGATGCCTTGAATGATAAACCGAGAAATACATAAACTCATAATGAAATTGATTCTGAATATAATTAGGATGATATATTTAGGCTAGCTTTTGCTAAATTACATAATGAAATCTTAAGTTTAAAAGTTGACAACTTTGAGTTGCTGAACAAGTTAAAAGGAATGGAAATTTATTTTGAAAAATATAAGTTAGCAAAGTTAAAGCTTCAGAGTTAGAGGCTACACAGTCTTGCAAGTCAAATGAAGGACTAAAAGTCCAGATAAGAGCTAGAGTGATGAACTTAAAAGCAATATATAATGTTGTTGGAATACTAGATTCTAAGGCTAAGGTTTAAAAATCTACCAAAATAGGATTTGTTATAAGGAAACTAGTAAATCTAAAAAGTTGATCCCCTAAGTATACTACAACACGTCACTATTGTTCAGAAAAAGTTCACATCAAATTTAAATGCATTAAACACATAAATGCCCTTGAGAAAAAGAAAGAAAAAAAAAATTCTCTTTCTAAGGAAAAGATTTTTGGAACTAAAAAGCTAATGATAACTTCTCCTTTAGAGAGACTAAAGGCAAGAGACAAGAATTTCACTCTGATTAACAATGAAATATAGATTAGAAAGAAAGAAGTAGAGTGTTTAGTAATCCACACAACACTTAAGCTAAGGACTCTGAGTATTTACTTATCAAAAAAAAAAAAAAAAAAGGACTCTGAGTATTAGTATTATGATAGCGGATGCTCTAAGCACATGACTGGTAATAAGTCCTTTTCCACATTGACAGATTGTTATGGTGGTACAGTTAGGTTTGGGAATGGAAAATTAGCACCATTGTAGGCTATTTACAGTAAAGATCCCACATTTTCGAGAATTAGAATAGGTTTATTGCGTAGATAGGCTAAAAATTAATTCACTAAGTATCAGTCAACTATGTGATAAGCAACAAAAGGTCTATTTTCTACAAGATGAGTGTATAGTAATAGATAAGGATGGATATAGTAGCTTAAGAGGCACGGAGACCCAAAGGTAACTCTTATGTAATACAGTTCGAGACTACAGTAGCATGTAATAATTCTCAAACCGATATCATGACCGTAATGCATCAACGACTTGGTCATGTGAACTATAAAGACTTGATAAAAAAAAGTTTAAAAATGATCTAGTTAGAAGGTTGCCTGAATTTAGCAAGTCACTAGTAGGAGTGCGTGGTCGGTATCAAATAGGCAAACAAACTCAAGTATCACAGAGAACATCCCAAGCTATAAAAGTTCTAAGCCACTTGATCTAATACACATGGATTGGATACCTATAGAAAGTATAGGTGGTAGAAGGTGTATTTTAGTAATGATAGACAATTTTTTAGGTATATGTGGATAGCTTACTTAAGAGGGAAATCATATATTTATAATAATTTTAAATCGAATTGTCAAAGAATTTAAAATGAAAAAACTATAAAATTGACAGAATTAAAAGTGATTGAGGTATAAAATTCTTAGGTAAATGTATTGAATACTGAGACAAGCTACGAATAAATCATAAGTTCTCTGTTGCAGGTACACTACAACAAAACAGTGTAGTTGAAAGGATAAATAGGTTAATACAAGAAATGGCATGCTGGATGCTACATTCAACTGGTCCATACATGATCGTTCATCATACATGGGATCGACCCAGTTATCGCATACGTGGGAATCGAAAGCTCCTCCATCTGCTATACATATAACAGTCATAATACATGGGTTCAATCTGCTATAGAGTAGGTAGAACAAAACACAACAGTTTCCCCATTCAAGACTTGGCTGCGAAAGCAATTTCCACTTGCTAGGGCTTCTGTTTGAGAATAATCTTGAGAAAGAAGATGTTTAAAATACCAATTTTGAATTGCTACGGTTTCAGATCGACACTCTCGAGGAAGAAGAAGATGACCTTTGAGCAAATGTAATGAATGGGATCTTAATTCGGGTCGGGTAAATGTTAGAAAATTTATGAATGGGTTTAAAGGGAATTTTGGTGATACTGGGAGGTAAACTACGCACTTGACACCCACATGATAAGCATATTGCTATAAATTGACAGCAAATGAACGGAAATGGAGTTAGTTGATCAATTTTTTAAAAGTAAAGGGGTTTTAAGAGGATTTAGTTAGTAAAGGGGGTTATAGATCTCAAGGTGATGACCTTTCAAGCTACCAAACTGCTCTACTCTCACTGAAGAAAAGAACTGAGAACTAATAGACAAACAAGGAATCTCTTCTAAATTCAGGATGTGCAGTTTCCACATCCCACTACAGTAACTTGATGTGGAGTTCGCTTTTCTCTCGTTTCTCAGACGTCGGAGTCTTCTACTCCGGCATCCTCTGAACCCAGTTTTCTTTCTTTTCTTTCTGTTTCTTGCTTGTTCATTTTCCATGAGAGCCCTTGAAGGTCCGAATCGGTCGTTTCTTGAAGTGGCGAGTCTTCCCCGCCTTTCTCTGAAGGGTGAAGTGGAAAGAATTTCTACAAACAGAGGTCAGGTTTTCAAGGTGGACAACCATAGCACAAATATACGTGAAACGACTCTGAAATCGTGCCTTGTTGGGAGGTTTGAAAGAGATGTGGGTTCTTTATAGAG